AGAGCTCGAGAGAAAGAGGGAACGAGAAGTTTATTTTTTATTTTTATATTTTATTTTCTGTTTTTATTTTTTACATTTTATTTTCTATTTTTATTTTTTATATTTTATAATAAAAAAAATACATTTCGTAAAATTTTTAAAAAATAATTAAATTAAACACATTTTTAGTATTTCTATTTTCTAAATAGAAAACAAGAACTCAAACTAAACAAATTTTCTAAATCTAAAAATTTAAAAATAAAAATTATTTTTAAAGATAAAAATAGAAAATATTTTTTCAAATAAAATATTTTTTAATTTTTTATTATAGGATATACTAAGCTACTTTTTTTATTATTATAATTTTTTTATTATGTAATTTCTTTTATTTGTTATTCATATTTATATATTATTTATAATAATTAATTTTTTTAAAATTTATAATAAAGTGTAGTGTGAGGTGTCAAAAAGTGTAATATGAGTTGCTTAAGAGTGACGTGGCACACTGGGACCATTTAACATCGGAGATGCTCTTACGTAACATAATGCAAAAGTAGGATGTTGGTGAGGGCCCTCCACCGTTATATCCAAGTTGTCATTGGGTATTGGATACTATATTTCTTGCACTCCAAAACAACAAAAACCCTCCTGCTTCCACCACCACACAAATAAACTTTTGTTTCAGTAATAAGACTGTTCCATGCATCAACAGTTCTGTTTAATGTTTATCTTTGTCCACGACCACATGTTAGATTCATTCATAGAAAGGCCAATATCGGTTTCAGACTTTCAGTTCTTGGTACGTGCAAGCTTTTCGCGTTGGGTAAATATATGTCATTACGGAGAACGAAGCTTACGCTGTTGACTTTGCCCTCTTCGTCAACCTGTCTTGTGAAGCAGATGTCACAAGTTGACCCATCTACACTGTATAACACAGTCCACCTTTCCCTGTCGTCGAACTTCAGACACACACTTGTGGGCAAGTCGATGGCAGCATGCTTTTCGAGCCCGTAATACATCCCTGTCACTGTAGCTAACAAGCACCACCAGAAGTTTTCCCATCTTTTTTGTGTGTGCATTCAAGCACCACACACACCACAACACAACAAGGTATACTGTGGTACTAATTAAGAGTTGAAACTTGAAGCTAGGTGTTACATATGTTTGTAATGTTAACCATTACCAAATAATAAATAATATACATTTGGGTTAGATTTACAAGATTTTTGAGTTTAAATTATATCTAGATTTATTGACGTTAATTAAAGATTATAGCGAAATAGTATTTTGATGTAACGATCTTTTTCAGTTAAATCACCGAATTTCGTAAATGGAACTAGATGTTTTTCTTAAATGGAACTAGATATTTCTCTTATGACGGGGAGAGAGACACGTTTTGTTAATTTGCCGTATTAGGAACCATAACCATCTTTATGATTTTAAACATATTAAGATTCTCATTCACCCTTAATAGGCTAAATTTGATTTTCACTTATTTGGTACATATCAATTTTTCTTATCGGTAGTCTAAAGACTCATTAAAATTAGATCACTTTTATTAATCTCAACTAAATGTAAATAGTTAATAATATATAACCCATATTAAATATTAAAAATAAAAATTTCTAAAAATCTCCTACTTGAACTTCATATTATTTTAAGTATTTATATCATAAAATTCTTTATGGCGTACACTCGTATGTTATTTACTTTTAAACTCCTCTTAAACAACCTGGTCCATCTCATATAATATTAGGAAACCAATGTAGCTTTTGTCATAACTCAATGTGATTAAACCACAATGATCACCATAACATTGTACTTATTCATATTGACAAATATAATCATAAAATCATTTTATACATTGATTCGAATTAATTAAACAAAGTATCAAATAATTTTTAAATTTTTTAAAAATTTGCAGATATGATCTATGCATTAAAAAATTTAAATTAAATGGTTCGATCGTTAAAATTTGATGTAGAATATGAGTTATTAAATGGACTAAGTCTACCTGGAGTAAAAGTTCCCTCCTCTCTCTCTCTCTCTCTCTCTCTCTCTCTATATATATATATATATATATA